AATATAATTACTTATGTAAAACATAAGTAATTATTGTGCTTATCAGTAAGCATGCCATTATTTGTAACACCGTCCCCAGATGTATTTTACTTTTAAGTGAATAGTGTATTTAACCTTATGGAGTGGTTAATGAATATTCGAAGTGGTGAATTTCAATTATTCTTTTGCGTGAATAGTAAACTCGCACGTGGGGCCCACACCGAGAGCGGGGACCGCCCGATATTCCCGAGACCCCATATTTTATTCATCGTGGTCTAGATAACATTTAGATGGTGGTGGATATTTCATTTGGTCCGTGGAAAGGCCCCGAATTGACCGATTGGCCAAAAGAGGCCCAAATACCGGTATCGGTAATTTAATAGATAACAGCCCGAAATGAATTTCGGAGGCTTATAAATTAAAGTTGGGAAATGTATATTCATTATAAGGGTCATAATGATTGGAAACACGTAATGTATTTTATTTGACCCGATAAAATAGAATATATTTAAAACTGTCCGAAAAATACAACTTTCGGGACCGATTGTACACACCGGGACACAAAGGGATGACCTCCCACATGAGTGGGGGCCACCCCACGTTTTTGGGTGCTGAGAATGTCAAATAGGAGCTGTAAATAATGGGAAATGGGGCTGAGGGTGATGTATTGGGTAAGAAGGGACAAAAGGTGGACCTCCACCCCACTCATTTGTCTAATTGAGACAAAAACCATCCCCCTCATCTCACCATCTCCATCCATTCGAACCAACACCCAAGAAGAGCAAGAAGAAGCTCTGAAATTCACCATTCCTACACCCAAATTCGAGCTCAAGGAGGAGTAGCCCAAAGAAGGTGTTTTAAGAAGGAAAAAGCTAGGAAAAAGTGAGAAGAGTTGAGGTAATGGCCTTATCATAACTTTTCCTTTATTTTTCTTCTACCATATGGGATATATATCATATGAAGAACCTTGAGGATTGTTCTACATGACTTAAGTGTAGAATGATGGGTTGGAAGGTGGTTCTAAGTCCAAAAACGGACTTAGGAGCCAAACCGACAAGTTCACCGGAAAATAACCTTTTAAAGGTTATTTGTATTGATTAAGGTGTTATGATGTGAAAACCTTGTTAGGAACTTGATTAAAGTATTTTTGAGCTTCGCCGGAGTTTCGCCGGAGTTGGTCAAAGTTCACCGGAGTTGGTCAAAGTTTGCCGGAATTAGTCAAAGTTCAACCGAGGAGCGTAGAACACGCTTAAGCTCACTTAAGGTGAGGATGACCGACTATATTGCTTATAATTATTGGGTTAATTTCATAAGATTACCTAAATGAATTATATGTGCTTGGCATGATTTATTTATAATAAAAAATGCCTAAATGAGATTATTATTGTTTATAAGCAAAAATGCATAATATACAAATTTATGAATAAATTGTGTATGATTATGTGTTATGAATACAATGGTATAATAGTGTGTAAACTATAAATTAAATTGTGATAAATATACTTTTACCTCATGTAAGGAAGTCATGGAAGGATAAAAGTGATATTTTGATATTAGAGCCAAGTATACTTGAATGTGGAATTAAATTGAAATATTCAAATTATTATGAATTTGCATTGGTTTATTAAGATTAAATGACTAGTATAGGAATACTAGTCAGGAATGTTAGTTCAATAGTTTTTGGGAGCTAATCCCAAGATTTTGGAGTTGGGTAACCTTAAAGGATATGTTTAAGGTGGACTTTATGAACTCAAGTTACTTTTGGAGTAGGCCTTAAGGGTTACTCGAAATGGATGGAACCTAGACTAAGAAGTGGTTTAGGGATCAGTGACGTGACTATGAGCCGAGCTCTAGCACGTGGTAGTATGACTATGAGCCGAGCTCTAGCAAACGTAGGGTGACTATGAGCCGAGCTCTAGCACAAATTAGTATGACTATGAGCCGAGCTCTAGCAAACGTAGGGTGACTATGAGCCGAGCTCTAGCACAAATTAGTATGACTATGAGCCGAGCTCTAGCAAACGTAGGGTGACTATGAGCCGAGCTCTAGCACAAATTGATATGACTATGAGCCGAGCTCTAGCATGGAGAACATGAGTTAATTACAAATGAATAACATATTAGATTGAGGGTCTTGGAAATTGAAACTTTGATTATACTTAGTATAGTTGTCATTGTACTTGTCAAATGCTTCCAAGTACTGACCTCCCCTTCACGGGGGAGGCCACCTCACAGTTTCAGGTAGAACTTGAAGGTTGCTACCAACGACGTTGCTCTCGGGAGGATCCAAGGAAGGGGAGACGTGGTTCGTGCTTCCTCCGTTTCCATTTTTTTTACAAACTATTTAATTAATGCTCATGGATAATACTTTTAAATATTTATTTGGGGGCTTGTATGCTCATGTTTGCCAAGGTGTGGCATGAATACTCGTATTGAATGTTTCCGCTGCCATGAATGAATATTTTACATTATGTTTGTTTATGGATGTACTATGTGTGAATGATATTTCAGACGCCTTGTATAGTATGGATGTGTTGGACTGCGGTTGACTATTCGTACTGTACGGCGGATTGTTGACGTGTCCGGTTAGGTCCGGGGCGTGACATTATTGCTTTTGGTTGATAAGGCTTTCTGGAAACATCAAGGTATTGATGTTTAATAAGTTTTCCGATAACCGCAACGGTTGTTTGCCTATTCGGATGAAGTCTATAATCAATTGAACAAGGATGCGCCGTGTCAAACCTACACACATTAAATAAAAGTTGTTAACCGAAATAATACATTCATTTCGTTACAAATAAAATTAAGTAATGCAAAATAATACCCTCTCGAACTACCTTGTGATTTCAAAACAATGTGTTCTCCATATTCTAACTCCGTGGATAGTCCAACTGCAAGTTCCATCAACACAATTAACATGGAGAACCCAATGATTCGAAGTTTTTGTTTCGAATTCAAATTTGTTGTGCAAGGCAAATATCTGTAAAGTCTCCTTCAATTGCTCTTTATTCGGATATAGCCCATGGATCGTTAATGTTGTGTCCATTTCATCCAATATTCCACTTTTACTACCGTCCATACATGTCAATAATGAACTAGTTAAAGAAGTTGTAAGTTGACCTGTTGTGGATGGTGCTTCAGTACATAGTTCAGAATTACTGGTCATTGTCACATTAGTTCCTAGATATTATATTCATCATTCAAATTGAACTGTGAAAGACCTTCTTCCTCCCAAGTGTCACTGTGACAGTCCATATCCACATCAGCAATTGCCTTATCATTTTAAATTTGAATACACAACGGGTATTTTCCAACGTTAGCATTGACACCCATCTTAAGGTGTAAATAAAAATTAACACTGATCATTATTTATAATCGTAGGCTCAAATGCTTCATCTGTTTGATATGATATCACAATATGTTCACATTCTGTTGAAGCTCCAAAGTACCCCCCCCCCCCACCCGTATCTCATAAAGCAGTCACAATAAGAGGCATTTGGATTAGTTATTGGATTAATTAATAATCTGTATGTTGCTTTATACATAAACTTGTTGTCCTTGTTCCATCTTCCATCAAAGAATAATGTCAACATCACGTGTTACAACCTCAAAGTATAAATGAATCTGATATCAATTAAACTCATAAAATAATGTAAATATTTCATATTCCATTTTAGTTATAACTAAAAAGTTACATTTTAGTTACAGTTACTCATTTTTAGAATTACAATTACTCATTTTTAGAATTTCAATTACTCATTTTTAGAATTACAGTTACCTCTATATTTCCACAATTACAATTACCCCTTTATTTTCACACTTACAGTTACCTCTTTATTTTCACACTTACAGTTACCCCTTTACTTTCACACTCACAGTTACCAATTCAGGTTCACAATCACATTTACCCCTTTTCTTTCAATTCACAATTACAACTAACACTTCATGTTCAAAATTATAGTTGCATTTATCTCCACATTAACAGTTACAGTTATATTCAAATATGTTGTTATTCATTATATTGAAAATCACAATTACAGTTAGATATTGTTGTACTTGTACTTTTACAGTGATATCACTAGGTTTTCATATTAAAATTAGTTTAACAAATTTCACAAACCAGCTACATAAAACCACCTCAAACACAGATACTATAAGATACAGTAATCAAATCTCATGACTTGCAATTACAAAGAACAAACATAGATACATTATTCTTTCATAAACTTACACACAATTTGTAAGAAATTCTATAAAAAAAAAAAATCTAATTCTTAATTTCACAAATACTTAATCGCTCGTAACTACATATAATCACTCAAATGCTTTTACCTTTATTCCAAGGCTATGAATTAGGCATTCGTTTGTTAACAGCTTAATTTTAATGTAAATTCCGAAATACACAGTTAAATTCAAATATGAGCTGTGATACACCTAACAAAAAATGAACTGTGTAATGCAGATACGATTCACAATTACTTGTTCATCCTAGTATATTCTTCACTTTCATTCCAGCGATAACTTCCTGTTTCGTTTGTCATACTTCCCGTCAATTCATTCGCTTCACTTTGTGATCAACGTAATATGAGACCGACGTTGTAATTTCCGTCGATATAAGAAAAAGCGTTAGTTAGTTTAGTTAGGAATGATATTTTATTTTCTGCGTATCAAAGAAAACAGGGGCAAATATGAGACTTGACTCCTCAACTTTCTAAATGAGACACACAGTGTTCGGTTTTTTGGTAACTACGAAAACAAGTCCTATATTTGTCTAAATCATATTTATTTGTAATATTAGTGACCTAATCCCAAAAGTTTGCTACATTTTTTTCTTTTAGTAAATTTTCTTTTTAAAATACTCAATTACTTTACTTTTCAAATTTTATCTCCTCTTTTATATTTTGCAATTTCTCTCATTCTTTTCCTACACATTAAATCTACTACATTTGTCTTTAAATGATGTGTCAAAGTCAAAATGTAGAAATGTTTAAAATAAGGATTAGATGAGATTTTAAGAAACCTATACTAATGTATTTTTCCATCTTTTTAAGGATACCAAAGGTCGGGTGATGATAAAGTTAGATTCTCCAGAGTTGGACTCATTTCGGTAATTACAACAACCATCCTCACGTCTGCCCAACGCAGGGAGGGAGGGACTTGCTTATACTCTTCCCCCTTTTCAATTCAAAGTTGGAGGCTTTTCACCACACGGAATATGTCGTATACCGGAATACCTGGCGGCGGTGGGCAAGGACACGGCGGCGGCACACCGCAGAATTATTTCTGCTACCATTGTGAGAGAACGGTCACCATCACCCCCCTGCCCAACTCCGAACTCGTTTGCCCTAATTGCAACGACACCTTTCTCGAGGAAGTCGAAACTGCCCCTCCTACTAACCCTAGCGACAACAATCAATTCTTCCCCGGTACCGATGATTTTCCTTTTGTCTTTGGAGGAGGAGGGGGAGGAGGCCCCCCCGAAGGCCTCATGTTCTCCGCAGCCCCTTCTGGTGGTGCGATTGCGCTTGATGATCTCTCTGCTTTGTTCGGTGGAATGGCTGCAGGTCGATCCCCAAATCAATTCCATCCCCTCGTTTTCCTCCAGAACTATTTGCAAACCATGAGGGCAAGCGGTGCCAATATTCAATTGGTTTTTGAAAATAGTAGTGGCGGTGGCGTTGGAGGGATTCCTGGGAACCTCGGAGATTACTTTGTCGGCCCTGGGCTCGAGCAGTTGATTCAACAGCTTATGGAGAATGATCCCAACCGTTATGGTACGCCCCCGGCCTCCAAATCTGCTCTGGAGGGGCTTCCGGACATCAAGATCTCCCAGGAGATGCTAGCTTCCGATTCTTCTCAATGTGCTGTTTGCAAAGATAGTTTTGAACTTGATGAGGATGCTAAGCAAATGCCTTGCAAGCATATATACCATAAGGATTGCATTTTGCCCTGGCTTGAGTTGCATAACTCATGCCCAGTATGTCGATATGAGTTGCCCACGGATGACCCTGATTATGAGAATAGGAGATCCTCTCAGCAACAGCAAACTACTAACAACAGCAACAGTGTTGGTGTGGGTATCGGGGGCTTGGGAGGTGAAGGCAATCAGGACAATTCTCAGACACCGAGGACAGTGGAAAGGAGGTTTAGGGTTTCATTGCCATGGCTGTTTGGAGGCTTTGGATCCCCTGCTGAGACCAGCAACAGTAGAGGCCCTGGCAATAATAGTGGAGGCATGGACAATAACAATGGAGGAAATGGTAACAACAGTCAACAGTGATTGATGTATGTGTACTACTTTTTCTGCCATATACTCTTGAAATTTCCCTTCCTATATTTTTTATTTTCTGTTTACATTCCAAACACACTTGTGCCCTAAAATGCATGTCTTATGTGCTGACCATTTATGAGCTGTTGATATCAAGCTCATTGAATGTGGTATTTAAGCTGTACTTGTTCCTGCAATTTATTTCGAGTGTGTTGGTTATTCATGGTGCAAGCCCCTCTCTTATCACTGCCAAATAAGTACTACTATGCATATACATTCTATACGGCCAATAACAGATATTTTATATAGCTGCTAAATGAATTGTACAAACTTGTGGCTGAAAACAACAGTTGAGATATTTTTTTGGGACTTATTCAAAAGGGCATACACTAGGAAGTATTACAAACTCCTCTTAGTCAGCATTTTGTTAGCCTGGTGGCGCTTCAACATTTCCTCATAAGCCACATTAAAAGCATGGCTTATGTTCAAGTTCTTCACAAATCTTCAACCTTGCAAACCCATTTAACACTAAAGGAATCACCAAATTCTAGTATTTTATGGTTAGAACTTAGAACAACGTGTTAGATAGCGTGGGTGATTTCCCCTTTCTCAAATATCAATATGTTAGAAAAACATCATGGCAATCTCCTGACCAACAAATTCTACCTCAGTTCCTAAAAGAACTTTTTCAAGCACGATACAATTTTTAGAATTTGCAAGTGCGGTTCTTATCAATCATCTGTCCTGCACAACAACAACATTCAATCCTTTTATATAAAAAATTATATATATATATATATATATATATATATATATATATATATTAAATTTTTGTGGCGCTAAATGGGTCACTTGTAACTTGAATGTGACTCATTTTTGGAAAATGACATGGAAAAATAGCTCCTTTTGATCAAACTTGATTTTTTTTTACATAAAATGTCTAATTGAAGTCTTTTTGGGATGGATAATACTTTTATTTGGTGGGGGGTTAATCCTTGGTAATCTGCCTCCAAAGAGAATTATTTCAGCTGTAACTTGAGTGAAAGATTTTAAAATACAAATCTTATTCTTTGTGGATATTCACCTCACGTAGAATCCTCTTTTTATTATGCATTATTACATTTAAAATTGCACGCTCCCTAATAGAACATTTCTATTAGAACATTTCTTCTCTTTCTATTAAGTCAGGGTTATGGCTTATGCAGTCCATGACTCCATATATTTGTGGGGTATGTAATTATGTATGCTTAATGACGCTGTAGGATTCCAGAAACTAGCACCATACAGAGGTCTAAGTCTAAGGGTAGACCCATACATAAACATGTGTCTAATATGTGAATTATACGTTGGGGTGAATTATACTCTAATTAGCTAATAAGGGTCTAAGGCTGTGATGGATCCATGACTTAAGGGCCTTCATCTCGGTGAACATAGCTTGGTTTGCCTTGGATCTGAATGAGCCTCAGTAGTAGATTTGGGAGTAGACACCAAATAAAAATTGGACGTAAAGACATAATAAAAGGTGGAGACAAGACACATTGACAAGTAAGAAGGATATGGATGGGTAGGGAATGCGAGTATGGTGTGTACCGTTTTTGTCAGTAATGATGCTTAAGAAGGATCTATCTCCCCATTAGAGGATATCTCAGGCAGTGGTTGACCCATGACATGGGAAGGAGGGTAGGTGAGTAATACAACAGGAGTGTTAATACTTAATAGAGTTATCAGCAGGAGTGTAATTCAACCAGCAACCGCCAACCGTACCATGACGCGGATGGTGCTAATAAACCTGAAGAGCATGTAAAAGAGTGGGTTTGCTAATAAACCTGAAGAGCATGTAAATGAGTGGGTTCATGTTAGGGAAGGTAGGGCTAGATGTAGATGCATGATGTTCAGTGTTGACCCTATTCTAGATTGAGAGAACTGAAGTTTGGGACGTGTAGGTGATCAATAAGGGCTAAAATATTAAATGCTGAAGACTGAAAGTACTCAAAGGTCATACTTGGAATGGTAAAGCAATTGTTATGTGCTAGAGTGACAAAGATACATTTTGAAGGAATTTTGTTGAGGGGCAAAGAAACAAGAGGCACTATGTAATATACCCCTATACGCCCATATGGGGTGTATAGGAGTATTCTCCTGGGGTGTCACTATGTAGGAAACTAATGAACTCTCCAAATTGTTTCTATATCAGCACATGTGTATCCAAAATGTACCGCATTTGCTAGAGCATAAAATGTTTTCATTAAATATATACCAGGTACACCTTGAATGTGACAAAATACATTGAAAATAAGATAGATTTAACACGGAATGGATCCAATTATCCAAAACATTTTGATTAGCTCAAAGAGTGAAGCAATATAACTATTGATGTGTTGTGTGACCCAAAAGACTTTGGGTAAAATGAAATGGCTCTTCCTTCAAACATTATAATTTATAAAGTCTTGGAGTCGTCTGCTGGAGTTCAAAACACTTGGATAGCCTGACTGGTGTATTTGTTACTTTCCATGGAAAGTGGTCAAATGGAGTGAGACATATGATAGACAAGAAATGGATAACCTGAGATGTTTATGGAGCCATGGAGGCCCTAATCCAAAACAATACTTCTTGAGCACTGCTTTTAGATGGTCACGGTGTTGTATGACCCCGAACAGAAAAATAAGGCAGAAGTAAAACACAAAGAAAATAGTGCACAACGGCACGTGGGAGGAAAGCACCAGTAGTGGGTCTTTGACAATAGGTATGTGCCGTCCTGAGCAATCTGTGTCAGAAGCATCTAGTGCATGAATTATGGAGCCTGGTTCATATGTTAGCATGCAGGGAGGGTCTTGCCCTCACACGGGTTTAAATGGAGTGGTACCAAAGGGAGGACCTTGCCCTTACCTCAAGTATATCTAGATTGATGATTGCTTCCATTTGCGCGTCGATTTGAGACCGATAAGAAGAGTAGAACACTAGCACTGTGTCATATATTGAAACACCTCTTGCCAAAATGCATTAGTAAAATGGGGAGACGTCTCTGACTGACTGACTGTGGCTTGTCGATGTTGACACAAAATGAAAGTGGCACCGACAATGTAATGTAAGGGTGATCAAATGGAATGAAGTGGGTGGGTGAAGAGACGATCAACAACCCTAAAGACAACAAGATTAACTTCAATAAAGACAAGGGAGATGTCCAATGCTCAGGGATAGGGAATGACTGCATGAGCCCAATCCAGTAATATTTTGATGGCTACGTTCATGTTTCTCAGCTTTAATAAAAAAGATTATTACAGCAGCAAATTTATTAGCAAATTTCCTTCATTGGGTTCTGTTAGGAATTGGCTACTTGATGTCGCCTTGGCTAGGTCAATGAGCTATGTGTAGTAGCCTCTTCTAAAACCAACTGGTTAGTATTTATCAGAAGATAAAGACATCATCAATGTGTTCTTGCCCCTAGGCAGACATCATTCACTTGTAGCTCCTCTTACAACACCACTACTAGTTTAAATTTTAAAATGATAGGATGAGAAGATTGATCCAACATGTACCACTATTCAGAATGTCAGACAATAACAGCTGAATATAAATGTATGGGCAAAAATTGTAAATTTAATTCCTGCATAGACTTGGAACTTAATGCATTAGTTTAGTTTTTAGATCATCATCATCATCACTCTAGTACCGCAAAGGCTCCCACCTACAGTGGGGTAGGGGGGTCGGATGTACGCAGTCTTACCTATGTACTAAATAACATAGAGGCTGTTTCCGGATGACCCATAGTGAAAATCGCGTTCAGAATTGCAGCTTCATAACAAAGAAGCGCAGACAGTTTAGTGAGCCATTTTGCTTTATTCCATCATATTTTCAAGTCAAAAAGTAGTGAGTCTTTGGCTCCATTGCAAATGATGGAAAGAGTTCATTGTGACTGTTCTAAGCAGCAGTATTATTTTTTCCTGACCAGCAGTATTATTTATACAAGAGAAAGCTCATAGTAATTTACTTTTCGCTCTTTCTTTGGCAGGGGTGAGAGTAAGGGGGGAGAGATAGAGCAGAATGCTCAGTCATGTATGAATTTAGAAGGAAAAAACGAGAAATACCATACTGCTTGGTGACTACAATGTTTATTTTATGCTACTTGTACACATTCTTCATATGTTTATACTTATGTCATTTTCCGTGCACCACTTGGTATCGCTTGAAGTGCCAAAGATTCCTCCTTTTTTTACGTGCTGCATTTTATTTTTTTCAGTGATGTGGTTGTGTTTAGCTGTAATCTTCTCGTACAGTTTTTTTTGTTCCCATTTATGGCTACTTTTTCCAGCAAATCTGGTTGCTTATCCAAAACTTTTAAAAGAGCACAGTAGTGGCTATTGACAGGTCTTCTGGATGCATCGACGGGTGAAATGGAATGTGGCTGGAGCGATTGCGTCACCAAAACAAAATTGTTTGAATCCAGACTCATAGCAGAATGTTTGGTAAATGGTTGTTGTAGCATTTGTGCCATCCGTACCTGTTTTGCTGCAATTCTAGTCTTTGCCAACTGGCCATGCTATCTTTCTGCTTGGCCTGTGTTCTAAAAATGGGTCACCAAAGAGGCAAAGATGCTTTCTCACCCCATAACTTTATTACTGCTTCTACTATAATTATTAGAACCCTATTATGTAGTACTACATATATGTTTTAAATATACCATTGTGTTAGAAGTTCTACGGATTTCTACCACTGTTGCTTGCCTTTTTCTGTTGGAAAATGCTTTCTGTAACTGGAGTATTACCACTTCCACATTTTCACCTGCTAATTCTCACTGCCAAATGCCAATAAAGGCAAAACAATAGAAAGAAAATCTATAAGTTGAAGAATCAAATATAAAAAACGGAACATAAATTTTACTTACCTTTTAAGATGCTGAGGATAGTAGGAAATTGTCAGTTTATTTATTTTGGAAAATGGCTTTAAACTAACTTTTCTTTTGTTATAATAGTTCTCTGTATCAACTACAAACTACATGCTTGTCTTTTTAAGTGACTGTCTACAGTCAAACTTCATTCACTCATCTTGTTGCCACTTGCTAGGCATGCATTCAAGTGCACTCTAAATTACGGCTGGTCCTTGTGTAGACCCGAGCCAACTTAGTGGCAGATCCGGGAAGTAAATTCGGAACAATAACACAAATGCTAGCTTTATACACAAATAATGAGTTTCTTTATCTTTCGTGTTATTTTTTGCATGTTTTACAATTGATTCAGTCCTAAAATGGTTTCAGCCATTTAATTCAAAGTACAAGTTATACCATGTGTCTAAGAGACATGGCGAGACCCTGACAATTCATTTTTATTATTAACTAAGTAATATATATATTCACTAATTATAATGGTACTGCTATTATATTTTTGTTATGATAGTATGTGTGTGTGTGTGTATATATATATATATAATTATATATATATATATATATATATATATATATATATATATATATATATATATATATATATATATATATATATATATATATTCACTAATTGTAATGGTACTATATTATTATATTTTTCTTAAGATAGTATTAATATTTAATATCATCTAAAAGCTCCTATTTAGACATACAATGATTACAATAAGTATGATACTTAGCATATAAATTATGAAACGTAGAACAATGGGAATTATTTATGTTACATAAAATGATTTTTTTTTAACATTCTTCTATACCTATTATAGTATCTGCTCTTGTTAATCCCAACATCCTTGATTGGGATGAGACTCGAACCTGTAACCTCCTCTTTGGGAGAACAGTAGTGATGCCCCATCAGATCACAAGGTACTTGGCAAAATGAAAAAAAAAAGGGAAAAGGTGCAAATAGGCCCATGTACTAACCAAAAAAGGTCAAATAAGCCCTTATTTAGAAGGCTCTGTCCGATCATCGCCATTTGGGGTGGTTCCCGGTGGAATTTTTTGATTAAATTTTTTGAGCATCTTATTCATCAAATCTAGTTTATTCATACCAAATTTCAGCTAAAAATTCAATCGGGAAGGCATTCAAATGAATTCTTGAAAATAACTGTGCAGTTAGAAGCGCAGTTATCTTCAAGAATTCATTTGAATGCTTTCCCGATTGAAGTTTTAGCTGAAATTTGGTATGAGTAAACTAGACTTGATGAATAAGATGCTCAAAAAATTTGATCAAAAAATTCTACCGGGAACCATCCAAAATGACGATGGCCGGAAAGAGTGTCCTAAATAAGGGCTTATTTGACCTTTTTTGGTTAGTACAGGGGCTTATTTGCACCTTTAAATTATACCTAACTTTAGGGTAACTTTAATTAGATGAGTATATAATTTTGTTTACTCCGCCGCCCATAAGTTTTTAGATTTTTTGGACCTGTTCATTTCAGTTAGGCATGGATCCAACTTGGCGGTCCAATTGGGTCCGGAACTATCTCGACCACGTCCGCTTAGAAACTGTTTTAGGCTTGGGACTAGGCCTGGACTCGGGCCAGGCGGCCCAGCCCGGAACCGGCCCGGCCCAGCCACTGTAGCAACCGGCCCGGTCCACCGGCGGTTCGGGTCGAACCGGCCCGGTGGTTCCCGGTTCCGGGCCCGGGCCTTCCATATGGTGAACCGGCCCGGCCGGTTCGGGCCCGGTTCGGGCCGGATTTTAATTTTTTTTTTTTTCGAAAAAATTTTTAAGTCTTGGGTTGGAATAGGTATTTTGGGTCATTTGAGGTGGTTTGGGGTTGAGGGGGAGGGGTAGGGGATTAAATAGGAGAACAAAAAAAAAACAAAATTGGGCCGGTTTGGCCCGGAACCGGAACCGGAACCGCCCACCGGCGGTTCGGGCTCGGGCCTCCCCTTTCCTGGCCCGAGGCCCGGCCGAGCCCAGGCCCGAACCGAGCCCGAACCGGCCCGAGTCCAGCACTACTTGGGACTAGACCGTCCGCTCTAGAGCAGTTCACAGTCCTGGTTTACAATTTTAGGGATCAAACTGGGCTGTTCCAATCCCAGTTTCAGTCTTGATTTGTTTTTTTTAAGGTTTTGGTCCGGCCAAAAAACTAAAAATCAATAAACGAGAACCCAGTCTAGGGCTAGGGTCGAAGCATTTTTTGAGGGTCAGACGGTCTCAATTACAAGCCTGTAACCGGACCGAACTGACCTAGGTCCAACCCTACCTTTAAGCATCCATCTAATTATCCTCTCAAAAATATTATCGAGCAAGGTAAAGATTGGTAGTGGTAAAGAAAAAAACTTATGATAGATGGTCCGGTTACAGAGAACATATGGAGCAACCATGCTATGTCATCAATTGAGTCTAATGATGAGTTGGCAAAAAAGAAAGTTAAAGGTTATGGAGAATAGATACGTCAAGATGGGTCAAAACCCGCAGGCCGGTCCGTTTAAACCCATTTATTGGTAAGTTTGGGTTTGTCATTTTTTTGCCCTATTAATTCGCGTGTTTCGCGGGTTAACCCACGTGGGTTGCAGGTTAAGTGGGTTGGTCCGGACGGGTTGCGGGTTGGCCTATGTGTCAAAATAAAAACATAGCTTTGACTATCATTATCTTCAATATTGTTCTTTTGCTGTCAAAATTATTATAATTTATAGTTTTTTGGAAGGATTATAATTACAATTCTTATGTTATTTTTACCTTCTAGCTTTTTTTATATATGCTCTTTTTTCTTTTAATCTTTTATCTTTCTTATATTCTTATATTATATTTATTTATTTATCTTATGTTATCTTATATTTATTTATTTTTATTTTATTCGTTTTATCCTTTTCTTCTTCTTCTTATCTGTCTTTTCTTTCTAACATCCATATCGCGGATCGGTTCATGTTAGCCGACCCCAAAATATTTTGGGATTAATGCTTGGATATTGTTGTTGTGATTATAATGGCCTTTTTATTCCAATATTACTAAAAATAGGATACAAGATAAAAAAGTGATCTCTTTTTTAAAATTCAAAAAATGTGACCAACATCACAATTAATCCTACAATGCAAAGTGACTCCGGGTAAAGTGACTCCGGCCAAAGTGACCCCTCTGACCACAGTGACTGCCCCGCCGACCACAGTGACTGCCCCGCCGCCACAGTGACTCCGCTGCCATAGTGACTCCATCGCCACAGTGACTCCGCCGCCACAGTGACAGCCCGCCTACTGACACAGTGACTGCCCGCCTACTACAACAGTGACACCGCTGCCAGCACCACCCAATTTCCGCCGCCACACAGCCCAATTACCTTCGGCAGCCACCAACTCCGGCCAACAACTACAACCACTACACCCAAGCCCCTGCCTCACCTAGCCCCCTCAATCCCACCTACTGTCATCAGTCCACCATCGATCAACATCTCTCTATCCATAGCCCTCCACCACCGGCCAACATCTTTCCGTCCAAAGCCCCCAAAAATCTTCTCGCCAGTGACATCACCACTAGACCTTCGTCACGCCAGTACCACCGTGGCCCGCAAGGCACATCCCGGCCACCCCCACCACGGTCCACAACGCACACCCCAACAACCCCCCATCTGGCCCTGTCACTATCACTCATCAGTTCCCCACCGCCCCACCACCAGACTATTGTCCAGACTGAAACCTTAGACAAATGGATCTGAAAAATCTAGCTGTGGGGATCCAGAAATCTGCAGATGTTGACAGGTTTTGGAGCGGAGGCTATGGAGACGCTCCATCAAAGAAGACAACGACGGAGGTTCTCCAAAGCGGCGGCAATCGAGACACACCGTCGAAGATTAAAACGAAGGAGGTGCTCTGAAGCGGCGATGCTAGATTTAGGGAGTGTTTGCAATTGCTTCAACTTTAAAAAAGTGATTTTTTTAAGTGATTTTGGGAAAAGTGATTAATAGTAAAAGTTGAGGAGTGTTTGCAGTTGATTAAAAAAAGCACTTTTCAGCTTTTGGCTTAAAAAAAGTTAAAAAGAGTGTTTTCAAATGACAGCTTCTGCTTAAATTAATCACTTAAAAGCTAAAAGCTGGAAGCAGGTAGAAGACTGCTTTAAACTGCTTTTCACTTTTTCTATTACACAAAAAGTACTTATTTTACCAAACACTACCAACTTTTACTTTTTCAGAATCACTTTTTTCTCAAACATTACCAACTTTTACTATTAATCACTTTTCCCCAAATCACTTTAAAAAATCACTTTTTTAAAGTTGAAGCAAGAAACAATGGCATGGATATGACCTATACGGTTTACATAGATAAAAATATGACCATTTTAAACTTAGACAAATATGGGACCATTTAAAACCGATCCTTTCTCCCCCAATCTCCCCAACCCGTTGATTTCAGAAGACCCTCACCCCCTCTCTCTTCACACTCGATCTTTGTACAGGACAGAGGACAAAGCTTCTCTTCGCACTCGATCTTCGCACAGAACAGAGGATTCTCTCTTCGCACTCCATCATCCCTGCGCAGTATAGAGGCTTCGCTCTTCACACAGCCGGCGGCATCCTCCCCGACGCTCCAAGCCGTCGTTCTCCGATCGTCTCTGTTGCATCTCGTCGGCGTCGACCTTCTTCAGCGATGACCGGCAAACGACGAGCCCTTGATAATCCTTCTTCTCCTTTCTTGACAATAAACTAGGGATTCCAGATCGATTTTGGACTCTCCCTTCTTATTTCCAGATCTGAGTTTCAGAACAAATTTGGGGTAGGTATAGAGAGGTGGCTGGGGCGAGGTTGAAGGTAAGGCGAGGTTTGAGAGGCTCTGGTGCGGCGTTGTTGGGCGGGGCTATGGTGCGTAGTTCCTGGGAGGGGCTATGGTGTGTCGTTCCTGGGTGGGGCTGGGGGAGTAATCTGTGGCGGGGCTGGGGGAGTGTTCTGTGGGGTTGGGGAGACTGAGGCCATGAAGATGGGGTGGGGGGTGGGGGACAGGATGGGGGCTTGGGGGTGGTGAGGTGGCCGGGGGATCGGAGGGGCTAGGGAGGAGGGAAGGTGACTGGGGGCTGGGGAGTCAAGTCGGTAGCCGGTGGTCGGCGGTCTTGGCCAACGGCGGTGGTCTGAGGTCAGCAGAGGTGGTGCTAGGGCGGGATGGGGCTAAGGGACCGTGAGGAGCAGGGAGGGACGGGAAACGACGTGTCACTGTGACTGGAATCGGCATGTCACTATGGCCGGAGTTGGCGTGTCACTGTGGCGGCGTCACCGTTGACGGTGTCACTGTGGCTCGTGGAAGAATGGTGAACACCGTGCAATGAAGTCACTGTGAAGTTGTCACTGTAAAATTGTCATGGGCGGTGGCTAAAGTGACATGGGCGGTGGCTAAAGTGACATGGGCGGAGGCTAAAGTGACATGGACGGTGGCTAAAGTGACGCGGGTGGTGGCTACAGTGACACATGCGGTGGCTACAGTGACACGGGCGGTGGTTATAGTGACACGGACGGTGGATGTAGTTACAAAAAAACAAACACAGTGACATAAATTTTTTACAGTTACATCATGTTTTCTAATTGCACATATATGACCTTTTTTATCACTTTTTTGCCCCTTTTTAAAAGTGGTCACTTTTAGGGTAAATGGTTCAAAATTAGTAATATCCAAGTAAAAACCCCTTGAAGCAATTGCAAACACTTGGTAGTGTTTGAGAAAAAAGTGATTCTGGAAAAGTAAAAGTTGGTAGTGTTTGGTAAAATAAGTACTTTTTGTGTAATAGAAAAAGTGAGAAGCAGTTTAAAGCACCCTTCTACCTGCTTCCAGCTTTTAGCTTTTAAGTGATTAATTTAAGCAGAAGTTGTCATTTGAAAACACTCTTTTCAACTTTTTTTAAGCCAAAAGCTGAAAATGCTTTTTTTAAGCAAAACCAAACACTCCTTTACTGTTGAGAAGAAAGGAGAAGAAGAAGAAGAATGGCGGCGGCTGAATCGGAGAAGGAGCGATAGTAATATGATGCGTCGGAGGTGGTGGAGGCCGTCCGAATGGAGATGAGCGCATAGCTGGGAACTGGATGGCAGTGGATGCGAGATGCGGAGATGGAGAGAAAAGGCCGCCCGGGTCACTTTTTGGTCAAAATCTAATTTAGTCATATAATTGTGAATTGAAACTCAAATAGTATTATTTGGGCAATTATTTCGATTATAATTACAATTATATACTTATCATTTTACAACCATTGAAAAATGATTACACAGTATTATTTCTATAATAACTATGCAAATAAAATCTATAATAACTATTCAAATAAATTGTTTGAACATATATTTTAAGTAAAGTTAAATATAATATTTAGTAATTAATACTTATTATTTACAAATAATCAGTCAAACGATTTAGTAGATCTTTACTTTGTAAAATGAACATCTTTAATATTCTTAAACTAAACTTAACAAGTATTGTGTGCTTGCTATTTTGATTTCTTATATTTCCTTTATTATTACCTACCAATATAAATATATACTATTACCAATATAAACATATATTATTGGGTAATTAGTTTAAGAGAATTTTGTCATGTATATTTTTAAACATTGACCCGCGGTCAGGCAGTTTAACCCATGGGTTAGGTGTGTTGGGTTAGGGTTGTAAAAGTTCTGACTCATCACTAATCGAGTTGACCCAACCCAAGCCACCTAAAGCATAACCAATCACGGGTTGGATCGGGTTGGGTCGTGTTAGCCCGTTTGATTGCTCTAGCGGAGAACACTGTCAGCATAGAAAGCCTGATTCAGAAGCTGAGTTGTACATGTTGCATGCAAAAAACCATTCTTCCTGTTTGATCCCTATTACAACTAACCCTTCTGACCACTGCTACTCTTCTATAAAAACTAGTTCATAGAACGCTCGTTGCGCGGTTGAGATGCCCAATAACACAATTTTCTTAGAGCCGAGCTTATCTACAAAGTAAAAGTTTATTTTGAAATGTGTAACATTAAATAAATAGTCAATCAGTACTGATCTCTTAATGTGAAAAAATAGATTTAACTTCTTGATCCCGTGAATGCAAATAGGATAATGTAATTGTTTGTCCTGAAAAAGTTAAGCTATACCAAAGAAAATAATGAAAGTTCACTTTTGTGTGTTTATTTTCCGCACTAAAATCCATAATTGATTTGGAAATGTTCCGAAGTCTAACCAAGAAACCATTAGAACCTGACAAAGAATCATACACACTAGCATATCAAAGACAAAACTGTCTTTGTCCTTGATTTTGAAAGCATACTCCCTCAAGGTTATTTGTTAAATTTTAGTGTTATACGGAGTAGTATTTATACCCGTCAAAATGAATGTCATGTTACATATGTTATGGGATAGTCTTCTTAAAAATCAATAATTGATCATTTACATGTTAGGAAAATCTTTAAAAAAGATCAGATTTTATGTGCAAATAAAAATAGCCTCCCGATTAGAATTCTAATAAATGCCATGATATCAAAGAAACAAATGTTATTGGCTACCTCAATCCCTTTGTTATTTTTTTAGCCCAATACAGTTAGGATTCATAGGTATGTAAGTATGTTTATTCCTTGAAAAATAGCAGAAAGCAACCGATGTAATTTGTCTACATATGTAAATTTTCTGGACAATTAAATTAAGTCTGACATTTGATGTCAAGTTTTCCACAATATCTCCTAATGGCTTTATCACAAATATTATTCTTGATTTGATTTTTCCAAAAAAAATCTTGATTGGAGAACCTACATTGAATGTTGTTAATGTATTAAAAACTAAAAGTTTATTGAACATTGAAGTCATGAGACTGAATTTACTGATTATGTCCTCCTTTCAAGGAGAACAATTTTGTTCACCCTCTGAAAAAAGCGTGAACATCACCTCTCACCCTCCAATGCTGCCACATGACATGGCATAACAATTATATTCTTATAATTCTTATAATACATTACAATTTTACAATTCTTATATTCTTTTCATTTTTGGTTCAATATTTTCACAAATATATCCTTTTATTTTTCATTGTTTTTTATGATACTAACATTGCATTTATAAAATTGAAAAAACAAATCCGGCTATAAAAAATATCAATTTTTGATATGCAATACGGAAACCATTGGAAAGATCATAAAAATTTATTAAATCAGATATTTTTTTATGAAAATTAAATTATAAATAAAAACCGGACTCCCTTTCAAGGGATATAAGCATATTTCAGCCGAAATATTTTGTCCCAAATAATCTTAGTAGGGTGAATATAACTACATGAAATCTTTTTTTACTAAATTTTTACTACTCCAACGGATTGTAGAAGCATGTAACTCGATATAAGTTTAACATTTTCAAAACTATGACTCCCAAAAAATGTAATTCAGCAACAAATAAACCAACTAACAATAACAAAATTTGAAATTTAAGATGTTTTTAATTGAACTGAAACTTTATGATATAATCAGATTTGATCTGATCTGGTCTAGTCTGATTGGTTAATGCCTGGTGACAAACTGAAGCTGGTCCAATTAAAAACATCAAAAGTGAGTGAAAGCTTTTTCTTATTATTAAAATGCTCGCTACAAAAACAATTAACAACTCAAGAAATAAAATAAAATAGAATAAATTAATACGAAGTATAAAAGCACAATAGTTAGACATAAAGCTTACGAAGAAGACGGAAGGGGCTATGCTTTTTTTAGATTAATAATCAACTTTAGAAACGTAATAAACAATCACTTTCATAAATATTGTGTATATTGCTTAATGAAATGAAAAGAACAAGTCAGAAATGGGTGAATGCCTAGCTGTTTATTTTAACCGAGATAGACAGCATCAGGGCATCTAAACAAGCGGTACAACTAAAAGATAGGGTACAATTACACCAACACAATTTCTATACCCTAAATGACCTTACCTTCATTGGTGTTTATAAGATTTTAGATGTCAAAACAATGGTCGATAACCAGATTTGGGCATAGTATGATGTGCTTCTTCTTCCATCCGCAACAACACTGTCCCCTTGGTATATCTAGCAACTTCCACAGCCAAAGGCCTGCTGGTCAGCGTCCAACCTCCATTCGGAAAAAATATTGCAGCAGAAGTAGCAGCCAGATCATAGTAAAAAACAAATAATTGTAAAGGAGAAAAAGAAAACCGGAGAAGATGAAGAGTAAACATTCTATCTTCTTCGCACTCTCCCACAGAAATAACTCAAATAAGGGAAGGAAGAGGGGTAAAGAAAGAGAGGGGGCAAATGAGAACAGAGAGAAAAGAAAAGAACCTATCCTTAAAACTACTCTTCGAGTTTCTTTTTCACCTCACAATGAACCTCTATTAGCGGATGGATTGATTTCTCCTCAAACTGAAGTTTCAGAAGCTTCGGGTGGGAACGATCTTGAAGTTGCGCCTATTCAAAAGATACTTTATGACTGTGAGCTACTTGACCGCGTTGCTGACACTGAATGGGACTCAACTAGTTCCAGATTGATATTTCGACGAAGTGCTGGTCTAAAAAATTGACTGAAACATAGACGCGCTTTCATCTTTACAGAATTAACATATGGATTTTTTGGGGATTTCATCTCTTTTGGGCAACTCAATACAATTCAATGGGGAGCTATTTGTTTTACTTTAGGGATTTGATTGGTGGTGAATTTGCAGGGCCTTTTTGGATTGTTCATTCTCTAGCGATTTAGTTTCACTAGCTTTCTTTCATAAAAAAAAAAGAGAACCTATCAAAGAAAAGATAATGGAAATGAGAAGATTTGATCGGCAATTGGTAGAGAAAAAAAATACTACTTCCTTACTAAATTTGTCACTTTATGCGTTAGAGGCTTTTTTTTTAATAATTTGATATTTGGCATAATTTATTTAGACTAGCAAGGGGTGCATTGTGGATGCTCTTCAAACGTTTAAAACAATGCACATTATGATTCATTGAGATATAAGTACGCGTAAACGGATAGGGGGATACCATGAAATCTATAAAGTAGGATACATATATGGGGGTATATTTATAAATATTAAAAGGTATGAGGGGATATGTTTATTCATAATCTCTATGTAGGACGTTTGCACTTTGCACCGCCTGCACGGATACAAGTACGCGGAAACAGATAGGGGGATACCATGAAATCTTAAAGTAGGATACATATATGGGGTATATTTATAAATATTTTTCAAAAATTATTTGACTACCTTTCCGATTGAATTTTTAGTCGAATTGTTTTGTGGATAAACTAGACTTGATGGATAACATGCCAAAAAACTTTCATTAAAAAATTCCATCGAGAAAGGGCCCAAACACCGCCATCCGGATGACGGTTCATGTTTTTCATTAAGTGTAGACTATATCCACAAAATTTCAGCTTAAAATTCAACCTGAAAATCAGTTAAATAAATTATTGAAAAAAACTGCACTAATATATATATATATATATATATATATATATATATATATATATATAAACGCAAATTGTTTCAATAATTTATTAATTGTCTTCCCGATTGAATTTTTAACATAAATTTGATGGACATAATCTATACTTTAAACAACATGCTCACATAATTTTATCAAAACAAATCCACCCGGAAGAACCTCAAATTGAGGTGGCCGGACGGCGTTCCTATCCAGTAATACCTTACAGGAATATTTGTGTAGTGATATTTTTGTGATCATTATAGTCATACCACTCGCACAAGTTATGAGGTATGAGCGAATTCACACAGCTATGAAACCCATAACATAATCTTACAGCCTTACAGCTTTCAGCATATTAGACAGTCAAAAGAGTAGGAATAGAGGAACTAAGCAACTTCAATAATGCAAATATAATAAATCTAGGTAATGCACGCCGCAAGCTGTCAAAGGACGAAAATGGAAAAGCTTACTACACTACCTTGAGCTTCTGGGTTGATGTCTGTTGTTAGTCTCTCTCTCTCTATAAGATATTTATCTGGGGTGTTATTATGTTAGAAAATCATGGAGTCTCAACATGGCCTTCACAAAATCGCCAACCGCCATCTTCTTGTCTCTTCAGGATGTAATGGATTTTGTAAGAACTGTAAACAAAGGGGCAAAATTGTAGAAAATTATAGGAAATGTCATCAGAGTATTCCTCAAAGAAGAATACTCAAAGTTATAGACTGTAATTCCAATATTCATAGGAATTACTCAAAGAAGAATCATTCCCATTACAAGTCCCACAGTTATTAATTTACTTCCATTTTTGGTACTCGAGTTTCATTTTTCATCATCTTCTACTGCATGGCACATAAGAGTTTGCCACTTTTGGTCCCTTTGAGCAATTTATCAGGCCAAAATGTAGTAGTAGTAGTTTTTGTAGTTGTAGTAATAATAATAATAATAGTAATAATAATAATAATAATGACAATCATTATTAGGGCAAGTATAACATTATGATTTCCTTCCATGTGACATTTTCTGGTTGCATTCAGAAGGAAGGATAATCTATCCAAGGGAGCAAAAGTAGCAAGAGTATAACAGTCATGTAACAAAAGTGGAAACATGAAGGTTGGAGACCAGATCAAACTATCCTGGTAATTGTATATGGAAGACATCTTTCTGCATAATATTACCTGTAGTAGTTGGGGTTTGTATGGTAGGGATCTTCCACAAGTTCTGCTGCTTCTTCAAGGAGAGCTTCTATCTCTGCTATCTCATTTCCAGTCTCATCTGTTAAAATATCTGCTCGTAGAACTGACAATTGCAGCAAAACAATTCTCCAAAAGCATGACTTTTCTTTCGCAGCATCAGCCAAACCTTTCCACTACAATATAATTCAGAAGAGAAAAATTAAAACAGATGGTTGCAGGAAATGAATAAGTTGAACCTCTCATATAAAGTTAAGATGTTCAAATTTAGATTTGGTTCATGTGAAGAAAGATTAAAATATAGAATAAAACAACGGCATAAACTCCTGCCCTGAGCTTCATGATTTCAAGCACCAACTTGTTATTATACACGTAGAAAGCGGGTTGAAGTCACATTAGCCCCCGGCTGATGTGCGGGCTGGTGAAGCTTGTTTTGTACTCAACTGAATAGATATCCCAATGCTAGTAATTGACGCAAATAGATATCACAAGCTCGAATAGAAAGTGTGGTTAACATGTGTAATCATATACTATCAATTACTCCCCTGTGTTACTTTATTTTTATTTTTGACCCCCATGTCGCCATACGAGGTAAAACTAATTCTCTAGATCATCCTACAGTGCAAAAACTGAATATAAATAAATGGGGAAATTGAAAATAATATAAGGATATGAACAGAGACAGTGGTTAAAAAATAATCTATGCAGCTCACCTGAATAAGCATCGTCTCATCAAGAACATTAGAGAGTAAATCAATGTGATGATCAGGCCCAACAGCCTCCGCTTTAATACTTTGCCATTTCTTAACCAGGCTCTCAGCTTCTTCAGAAGACATTGCCATCTTGTATGCTACTTCCGCAGGAGATGACAGACCAGCCGCTTGACAACCATTTACCAAACCAATATCTTCTTTGCTCTGCTTGACCCGTAATCCAAAATTTGAAAACAGCTTCTTCAATTTTATGGGGACAATGCTTCTTTTAGCCCATCTAGGTCTTAGATCTTGAGAACCATCTAAAATCCAGGAAGTGGAGTTTGTCATCCTAGGTGATGAGCTTAGCCTCAATCTAGTTCTGTTTCCTATGCTCATTATCTTAAAGGAGACAAACAGGATGCATCCTAAACAAGCAACAACAGTTATCTTCAAGATGACATTACTTAGAATTTCATGTTGACGTGCGCCCAAATTCCTTTTAAGTTGTAGTGATGGTCCGCCATTAGTACCACTTTCGACCTTATCCGCTATCACCACTGAGTCTTGTAAACTTGTTGGAGCCAACTGCTTAACAGCTGGCCCAAGATGTTTTGACAAGTCAGCACGCTGCACAGTTTCACCTAAAGCTCTTTGGGCATGTGAAAAGGCCGGTGCAATTGGTCTGTGGTTCACGTGAGACGAAGTCTGTGACGCCCTTTTGTTTCCCTTGTATGGAGTTTGCTTTTCACCGCGAAAGAAGTTCGCCTGTTTAGATAATAACTGCACATTACTTTCCTCAGTAGTAACAAGCCTAATACTTCTATGTGAAAATCTGAAATATATGGCTTACCAAAGATGGGGAACAATCTCGTGTATCTGGAAACAAACTGAGCACAGCATCCTTAAGCCATGTTTCCTTGTAATTTGCGAAGACATTTGGGTTAGAGAAATGATTTAATACCTCAATTCAATTAAAGCCTTATCCTAAAATTAGCCTAAAGAGGAGTAGTAGAAGAGTTATTGTTCTGGAAATTAGCCTAAAGAGGAGAAGGAGGAGTAGAAGACTTATAGTTGAAGAATTTATCTCACACAGGATTAACCATATCAGTATAAAATAATGACCATTATATAAGATCCTCAGCTACTCCTCATCCTCGCCTATATACGGTTCCATTATATAGGATGGAACCTGGGCACTTTAAATGGTGTCAGAGCCAAATATGGTTGTGGCCTCGTTGTTTGTTTAGCAACTGTTTTAGTCAGTGAGGCCCATTTATGTACCTGTTCAACCCAATTTGAGTTGAGGGATGTGTTGAATTGTACCACACTCCATTTGATATAAATTAATGTCACTACACAATAAGATTTTAAGCTACTCTTACTAATCAGATCATAAGATTTTGGGCTACTCTTTCTAAACAAGTTGACGGATGAAACCCTCTTACTTTGACATTACTTGATAGTTATAGGGTGAAAAGCTATGAGCCTATATAACTGAGTCAAAGATTAAATGAAGACAATATTGAAGTTCAAGAAAGCTATAAGCCTATAACTAAGTCACACATATTGAATGAAGAAATTGAGTGGTTTAATCCCTCGAGTCGATAAAGCCTTATCCTAGAAAGAAAGCATCAACTAGGCATGGAAAGAAAGCATCCTAGGAGACAACATGGGTTTTAAACTTTTAACATCCAAAATAGGCATGAAAACCAGCCTAAAGAGGATGAGTAGTAGATGAGTTATAAGGTAATAAGCTACAACCAAGTCACAGATTGAATGAAGACTAGGCATGGAAAGAAAGCATCCTAGGAGACAACATGGGTTTTAAACTTTTAACATCCAAAATAGGCATGAAAACCAGCCTAAAGAGGATGAGTAGTAGATGAGTTATAAGGTAATAAGCTACAACTAAGTCACAGATTGAATGAAGACTGTATTGAAGTTTAAGAAATTAAAATATTAAATATGTTTTTCATTAAAAAAGTCAGAAAATCAAAAAGTGATCATATAAGCCACACAAATAGTGTTCAAGACAAACACTTGCAAAAACGCTAAAAATACTGACCATTTCCTTAATGGGGTTTACTTCACTTGAACTTGCATTACAGTTCTGTAGTTGTTTAAGCCTTTCAGCAACACTTGCCTCATCAACCTGTAGAAACTATACTTCTCATTTTCTAGAACACTGGATGATGAGCACATGTGCATTTGCAAAGAATACAGGTACCTGCTCAAGAAGGACCAAGCAAAAAGCTTCCTCCAGTTTTAAATTCACGCCCTCAGATGCAATTAGACACTCGCAAATGACTTTTGCACGGTTAATCTGTGAAAGCACAAAAAGAATTGCACGAGTAAGAGGTGATATAGCAGAATAAATGGACATTGCAACCAAGCTAAACTAAAAGTTGAGCATCGCAATCCGTTTGCGTGTTCAAAAAAGTCAGGGGGTGATATAAGCTAATAAAGCAAGACAAAAAATTACAGCAGTACAACCTTTTAAATTTGACACAAGAGTCTACATTTCCTTGTAATAGAAGCTTCATACACTGTGATGCAACTGTAAATATAATTAACTAAACTAGCTGAATTAGAACCCTGGAAATATCATTACCAAATCAGGTTGCTTGCTGGAAAAGCCAAGGGCAATATGAGCCATTAGAATCACATAGAACCCATTAAAATCAATTACAACTCTTTGGTTTTGTGACTCAAGAGACTTCTTGTTCTTTCTTGTAAGAGCCAAATTGTCCCACTGAAGAAGTTCAACTATCTCAGACGCCATGAGCCTACTGAAAGCTTGATTCAGAAAGCATGGCCAATCTTGAACTTGGCATGGAGATTCTACATCAAGGCCCTGTCTAAGTAACTCACGCAAGGCAGAAATGGCTCCCGATCTTCGTTCTGCATTTTCAGGTCTGTGAGGCATACCCAGTAATTCCAAAGTGCAAGCTGGTGCAAACTCTTCCAAGGATTCCTCTATCTAACATCATTTTTAAGAGCAATTACTATGCATATAAAGTCAAGATAAAATGTGGATATGATGAGAATCATCCAAAAAGAGCATTAGATATTGCCCACGGTCGTATTCATATCTTTCAGCAAACTCACAGCACAACATACATTTTGAAATGATTTTGATATGGACGCATTATGCAGGCTGTCATATCAATGATGCCGTCCAACAACAATACAAGCAGGGATGGTATAGCTCAATCAAAAACCTGAGAACCTATCCTACATGGACCTAATATTATTAGTGGTTCAATTTAATTGTTTTCGGGGTGGTCCAGGTTTAACAACCAACCTGAACTTGATTTGTTCTATCCTTAAGCAGGCCAAAAAAAAATAAGGACCAGACCAGACGAAAAAAATACTCAAGTCCTTTAAAAAATATGATATATTGTATAACTGTGTAGAACATAAATAAGTTACACTTGTGGAGGATGAATTTGATGATTATCATATTAGAGGTTGTTTATTAGTTGTACTTTTAAACAGACGTTTGAATAAGGGATGTAAACGTTAAAAAAAGGGCATTTTTTCCCAGACAGCTCCACCACCCAGTTGGAAATGCTAAATACCCGGACTGGCCCAGATTTTTGGGTCTTGTTTTGGTCCCAAAATAAATAACCTGCTATCTATTGCACTTTTTTTTGTCCAATAAAAGCCCGACTCAGCCAAATTCTACCCCTAGAGACAAGAGTGGCTAGCTTGGGTAGCAAGATTGTAATGCTTAATTTCCCATTCTAGTTCAGAATATCTTATTGTCTTATTTGGAAATCATATAAGTATAGCAGTTATATGTTATTATGTTATATATGGAGGCTTATAGTTGATTCAATCAAAACTTCTGGAAAACTAGTCCTTGTATCTTGACTAGGTTGGGCAACACATAAATCCCACTTGATACTTTTCATTCTTTTCTCTGTTTTCGAATATAGGCCCAAAAAAGTTCTCAGACACCTTGGTCTGCCATGCAGCGCTAATCCTGAGGGCAAAATCGCAAAATTAGTTCAGAGTTTCAGACAATGACATGGAGGCCTACATGGTGTCATTTCAAGACTTGTTGACACAGACATGCAGAACTCGGGTGCACATGCATGTAAAGATTTTTACACACAAACAATGTGAGGCAGTTGGCATAATCACATGGAAGTTGAAAATCAGGATTTGATCTACCTCAACTTCGCAAGTCAGTTCTTCCTTCCATGGTGGATTTCTCCAAACCACAGGTAGATCGGGGAGCTCTTCGATAACAACTTCCCTGCTGGACAACACTACGTTGGCATGAAGAGAATTCTACGATTTTAAAAAATAACTCAAGCCAAGTCCACAACGGGCAGAAGGGTCGTGTTACAAACTTACAATAGTGATACCCAATGGGTTTGAGGACACTGTTGCAAGAAATGTTCTTTAAACAGCTGTCTATGTGGCGAGTGTTTTCTTTACCGAGGTAGTTCGGCTGCACAGGCGGCTGAAACTTGTCAGCTATCCACGACAAAGTTTACGCAAGCACATTTTGGCATGAATTATTTTCTTATAAACTAACCTTTCTTCAGTATTGTGGGTCTGTTTCTCCATTATTTAACCAGGCCACCAGGGATTATACCCATGGACGGGTCTCATTGCCTCATTTAAGGTCCTACACCCCCCACCTGTCCTTCCCTATAGAGCAGGGGATACGCAGCGGGAGTCCCGCGTCATCTTTCCGATACACCAGGGGATAGATGGTGGGCAGGGCTGGAACATGAGCTAATTGATTGTGGTGAACTGTTATCCGCAGCTCGCACCACCACAAACAGGCTCAACAACGAATAAAGCATCAGTAACACAAGTCTCATTTGGACCTCTCATTTGAACCCAGAGTCTGGTTGTGGCTCCAGATGTACCCATATCATCACTTTTCTCTTGTGAAGCACTACCATAAACTTCTACTAGAATTATACGGCCATTTCAAGTGCAGACTTGTGTGAAGGAGATTGAATATAAAATCCAGACATCCAGTTGCCACCAGATAATCGTATATACAAAGTATTACATGTGTAGCTACTCAAGTCACCACAGAAGGGACCTCCAGCAGACTCGATGGGGCACTTGCCACCTAATATAGAAAGATCACATGTGTTGAACCTGTTGTAGTGTTCTGCAATTGCTTAAATCATAGCCAGCTGGAATGGTTAGTTTATTAGATGGTCCAATAGGAAGAGGAAGCTTCAAAGGAGTCAAAGGTGTTTCGGAAAAGTTATATCACATTCGAACTTGAGGATAAACTCGTGATAAATAGGGCTAGTAATAATAAATAAGCATTCTGGGGAGAGTATTATCAACTATGCAGTTCGGGTTGGACGAGAGCCTGAGGCAGGACAAGGGCTTGCCGAAAAGGGCTAGAGTTTGGGCTGCAGGAAAGTTATGCTCATTTTCCAATTCAAGTTTTGGATGTCTTTTATTTCTTGATCATATTAGCCTTGCAGTTATAACTTCAGTCTTTTATTTAGTTCTCCATGTAATAGAACTATATAAGGGCCTATAGTTGATTTTTTTAGACCAAGGGAGTAAGGGCCTATAGTTGATTTAATAAAATAATTTTGGAGAATTAACTTTTGGGCGTCTCCACTCTCCAGTGAGTCGAGCACCAGATAATTCCACTTAAGCTCTCTCGTTGTCCTCTCTTTCTTCAAACACAGGCCCAAGAAGTATTAGAGACTAATCCTCTCTTCCAGTTTGTGGAATACCAGGGGTGGATCATGGATGATGTCCTAATTGCACACCCTTAATAGCATTTTTTTAAATCGTAATTGCGGCGAGTTTTCATGATAAATTAAAAGTGAGTAAACTGATATAGTTTGAGCATGGATGAAATGCTAATCAAACTGAATGTTATGTGGCACAAACACTAAGGAGGCAACTGCAATTCCAAGAACTATACCTGAGACAACAATGTCAACTTCCCAAGAGAAACATTGCTCCTAAGAAGACACTGAGCACGAGCAAGAGCTTCAAAACCTTGTGAAATATTGTTCTTCTCAAAGCAATGTTTTGCAATTGCACACTTCAAGAAAGCACCTATAATAAGAAGGGGAAGAATAACAAAACTGCCGCGAGAAGGCAGCATAATTTCTAATAGTTTGCTTTTGGACCTTACCTCAGCCAGCGCCATGGACAAAAGTAAATCGTGTATGTAATGCTTCGAATCTGGATGTTTGAGGGCTCTTCGTCCAATATCTAGCACAAGCTTCTCTTCTCCTACCTGAAAGGAAAAAGAATTTCAGTAAATCACATAATCACAATGAAAAGTCTTAAGTTGATAACAATATCTTTTACCAAATTAAGGCTGTTTTTAAGAGAATTAATTTCACTTTTAGTCCTATGAATATTATGTCAATCCCACATTTGTTCCACGTTTTTCTATTTGCCCACTTTTGGTACATGATTGTTGTTTCTTGCTCATCTATGGTCCTTCTGGCCAAATTTCCAACACTTTTTCGGTGATTTTAAGTGCCAGAAATATCGATGGAAGGACCACGGAAGAAACAGTCGACATGTACCAAAAAGTGAGAAAAGTCAAGGATGTGAACCAAATGTGAAATTGACATAATACTCGTAGAAACAAAAGTGGAATTATTATTTATTAACATTACGGAAGCACAATACTTATAAAATATGTGCAAACATTAATGAACAATGTGAATTAAAAGAGAGAAAAAGTTAGGGAAAATAACCAATTTAATCAGGTTACAGTCCTATTCTATATTCCTCAACCGTATATCAGGTAAAAGCTTCCAAATGAAATGTTCTTTGAAGATGACCTCTTGAAGTAAGCAAAGAGCTCCTGGCAACCAAGCCCATGATATTCGAATAGAAGACCTTGGCATGACCTTGTCTTTTACGTTTCCGGCATATTCTGGCTCAAAAAGAAGCTTATCTCTCACATCCATCAACAGGTTCTGACAGTGAAATGTAAATTCATATTAATCATGACTAAGGGGAAAGCAAAGAAGAAAATGAACTTATAAGTTAGGAAAATTTCCTAATACCTATCAAATCCACCAGAACCAGATTACTACCTGGCGAGAAATAACAGCATCCATAGTGTACCCCTCTTCAACATCAGCATTTTTCAAATGCATCACCGACTTGACAATCTCATCCTTCTCCGCTTTATCAGAGACACCAAGAATCTGTAAGTTTATATCGCGAGAAGCTAAGACAACTTTCTAACCAATGATTTTTCTGCCTGACTGCCTGTTGGCTCAAAAGTCTTCAAATAATCAAGACGTACTTTTCAAGACAACAAATTAGTTGATGTAACTGTAAGCCACTTTCACTCAGTAGCAAGAACTAATTAAAAATAGTACAAATTGTAGATTTCAATGTAACAGTTGAGATCAAACTGGATTACAACTAAGACAAAGATAAGTATTGAACAATCGATTCATTCATGAATACAGTCAAGAATACAGTGAGTTGATCAATGTCTACTCTATCAAACAATCAGTGTGTTCATTTATGAGAATTCCAAACAGGATTACAGGATTGCACTAAATTGGTTCATTTGGAGTTAATCACGTAGACAAATAGAAGTACTGAAAATCAGTATTCTAATTTGTATAGTTGCTTATGTACCATTTCTATGATCGTTTCTGAACACCTAAAATTGAACTGCAGATTATTAATCACTACGGAAAATAAGCTTGCGGCCAATTCACTCACTCACACGCCTCCTTGCCCACTCTTACAGTAATTTGGGATTTTCTTGCCCCTTTGACATGCAACAACGCAAATACATAGGACTACACAATACCAAAGGAATGTCATTTGTTTACAAATGAAACAGCAAATTGCCAGAACTTCAAAATCTATAAGAAGAGCATATTTATGATTATCATTTGTTTAGCAAAGCAACATGCTCTTAATAAGCCATTTACTTGAAACCATCGTATTGCTCTTCAAAATCCATAAGGAGAGCATAAGGAGAGCTTCTTGACTCTTGAGATTTATATCATTAACTTTAAACAACACACACATACACACACATATTAAGCTATCCCAAGACTTAATATGACATCAAAACCAATTAATCTCCAAAGAGCAATTAAATCCCGGTAAACCTCAACAATAAGCACACGGAATATAAGATTAGTCTGCTCCAACTAACCACCATCTTGCGGGGGCGTATTAAACTATCATATAAAAATATAAACCAACATATCTTGGACTATTTCTCCTATCAGGTTGACTTTTTTAGGATGGAACTCCAAGACTTAATAGCACATAGAGAGAGAGAGAGAGAGCTTAATAACGCATAAAATGATCAGTTATTGGCATAAATTAGAATGATGAATGATCTCATTGTTAAGTTCCATCCATCTCTCATATTCATATGTAAAACACATTTTTAAGTCCCTGCAGTATGTTTTTAACCCTTTTAAGCTCCTAACATGTAATTGGGGTTATTGAGTACGTCATTGACAAACTTAAACCACACTGATCCCATCATTTTGCATTTGCCTCTAACTTTTTGTTAGTGCATGACGTTGCAAGTAGTTTGGCTGACACATGTGTCATCTATGTCAGAACCCCAAAAAAATCACATTAAAACCCAAAAAAACTTTATTTTACTTCCTTGTGAGGATTACTGGGTTCTATTGGTGGAAAGCGAAGGATGGTAGGCTTTGGGGGTGACATTGATACATGACAGTCAAATCCTTATGATTTTATGCGCTAACAATAATGCAAACAATTAAGGGCTTAAGCTTGTATCTAGCATGCTTAGGTGATCAGTTAAAAGTTAGGGTCTCACTGGGCAAAAAATGCAATACTATTACACTTGAAAATGTTTTTTCTGTCAAAAATTTCATCCTTCATCTAAACAATATTACCTCCAAACTAACTTGTGTTCACCATCTAGAGTTTCTCATCTGTTGTTTGTAAATATATACTTTTGTAAGTCAGGAAAAAAAATGATTGACTGCAATTTGAGTATATTTAAAGAAACACTCTTCCCGGGTAGGTGTAGATAAGTCCAATAAAATAAGATTAGTTTGAATGAACAAAACATATTGTTTACGTTCGCACTACATATTACTACACTGGATAATGTCAATATTGTTACTCATATTGGAAACATTAAAATCAATAATGATTTAACCTTGTTCTTTGTGTTCCTAATTTTACTTTCAATCTAACTTCTGTTTCAAGCTTATCACTATAAGTTATTTTTCCTTCAAATCATGGTGCTTTGCAGCAGGACAACTGTACCCAGAAAATCATCCATTATGCCTAAAATATGTAATGGATTCTATCATTTGTATCTCTCCGGTCCACTCTTTGAATAATTCACCTACGAGATGAACATGAAGGACATTCACACTCATCTTGAAGGGTATCAAGGAGTCAAAAATAACAACACCCAAGAAACTTAAGGACCTAAGAGCAATTACTTTATTAATAGAAAATATTTGTAATATTTCATTGTTTCAGATACTATGAAGTATGAACTGTTCATTATGTATTTTCCCTCATCTTCTATTCCGATACATGTCTTCTTCTTTTACTCTCTCCAAGAAACTGTAATTTCAATTCTGAAATTTAATATGTTCATCCGTGCCTATAATTTGTCTGTCTATCTTTCCTTTTTTGTCACTTTTCCTTTTAAGTCATTAATTAATTTGTAGTTCACATTATTTCTTTCTCCTCTCACAAACTAATAGATAGTATATACAAATAAAAATATCGAAGAAATATATGTAGCGGAGACCTGATAGCAAGTGACTGGAATTTCGATGGAGGGGACAAGCATGGATGGAGAAGCAACGCAATCAGTCATGTTGGTGGCGGCGGTTCCAGCAACGCCGACACTGAGGTCAGTGGCTAATGGCCTCCTGCTACTCAATACCGTCAAATGCCTCTTGAGGCCGAAACCGAGACTGACGGGCACGGCATTGTAGCAATAGCCCCTCCCGGAATCCCCTCTGGCGTAGCAGAGGTACAGGGCGCTGGAGAGCTGGTGAGAAATCGCCATTGTAGTCTTATAGCATTCACGGACCACCGATTACCTTTAAGCAATATTAATCATATCGAAAGGTTTAACCGGTGTTTCCGGAACAAGCTTCTGAGGTTCGAAGATATTTTCCTCTGATTTGAAGAATTTCAGGATACCGATTTGCAAGGCATTTGACGCATGTAACCGTTGCTCTTTCGCCTTTTTCCAGCTGAAGAGAACTGGACGATGGTGAAAGGGAGTGAAGTAAAGTATATTTGGGACTCAAGTTTCTCTGAATTTTGGCTTTACGGACTATCTTTGTTTTCTTTGGTTTTGGCTACAGACACAGGCGAGGACCGGGAGACACTCAACAAAGTAAAAAACGGCGCAGGAAAATGAAAATTAATGATATCATTTCAAAGTTCTTCCAAGGGAGTTCTAAGGGAGTGTTTGCTGTTTTTGTGCTTTTTAAAAGTGATCTTTTTTAAAATATTATTAGAAAAGTGATTTTTAGTAAAAGTAGGTAATGTTTGGTAATAGAAGTGATTATGATAAAAAGATAAAAGTTGAAGTGTTTGATAAAAAAATGATTTTTTATGTGTGATTTTATCAAAGTACAATAATGCCCCTTTCTTAAATTAAATGCAAACCCTTGTTTTCTATTTTCTTGGAGATAAAAGTTGAGCTCGTGTTCTTCTTAGCCGACTGCATCCCTATTAACAGAGCAAGAATTTTTCATAGCCAATTCTACGCAATTTTTGTTAGATTCAACAAACTTTTTACATTCACAATCTATATCCGAGTGGGTCTCCAACGACCTGATAGCATGATAAGCTATGTATAAACTTGTTGTAAACTTGCTGCATCCCTCAGTAGAAACCCAACCCAATTGATGATAAATAGCCCAATTCAGCTTGAGATGAGGAGTAATTAGTTTAATCCACCTGTTAAACCTTGGTGTGCTCGCAGTAAAATTACTAGGAAGAAGCCCTTTTGATTTTAGCCTGTCGTGACCCCTCAGATTCCTATTGCGAAGCACCAAGTTAACATAAACTTTCGTATTTGATTAATAATCAAATCTGCACTTGAGCTTGATTCGTTCCATGTATGTATAATTGTGTATATATTGATGAGGAAGGTAGGCAGTGAAGTGATGCACTCTGCGAAGAAAGAGTACGATGGGAGAGAATGGGGGCATTTTGGGTTTCGGGGAAGAAATTGGCCATCATAAATTTCTTCAAAGTTGATATTATTTACATAAAAGCCTAGAAGCAATTAGAAGCTACCAAATACCATCTTCCAGCTTTTAGCTTTAAAGTACTTTTTTTATTAGAAGTTGGTATTTGCAAACACTATTTTCTGCTTTTTTAAGTTAAAAGCCAAAAAGTGCTTTTTAAAACTCATGCAAACACTCCTTAAGAATACTTCGTCCGGCACACAAAATTTATCAATTTTCCTTGTTCAATTTTTTAACAGAAATGCTAGGGTACACAAGTTGTACACAACTTGTACACAAAATGTCGGTCACAGACAATTGGTATGGAATTATCTGTGGGCACAAACAAGAGTTGTCTGTACACAGACAACTTTTGTCTGTATCCACGGACATTTACTTTTTTTTTGTAAAAAGTACACTAACGACCATCTGACACTGACACCAGCTTGCAAATCAATCAATATATGTGCAGTGCCTGTGTGCACAGATAATATTTTCATGTTGCACAGACAATAGTTGTGCGTTTCACAGAAAATAGTTGTCTGTGTGATCAATTTTAATTATCTGGGTGAACAAAAAATAAATTTTCTATATACATCCAAATGAATGATGTAATTGTATGTGTAATCAATTTACATGCAATTTGAATAAAATTAGAGAAATAATAAAAATATATGAAATAAGATGAATAAGTTGATTTTGTGAAAATAATGAAAATAATTTATATAAAAAGGTAGAGAAAAAGAGGAGGATGAAGAAGATAATTTTTTTGTTGTTGAGAATTTTAGAAGAGACTGGGTAAAGAGGAAAGAGAGAAGGGAGAGAGGGGGAGAGAGAAGGGAGAGAGAACTGAGAGAGGGAGAACAAGGAGGGGGAATGAGATATTTTTTGCTTTTATTAGTTTATATCGTGTACAACTTGTGTACATGGTGTGTACACTAAATATTTTTCTTTTTTTAATATCCCTCAATCACATACGGAGCAATTTTTTTTTGAACACGTTTTAGGGAACATATGAAGTACATTTCTGCCATTGCAGCCACCACATCGATAGTAGGGATGGTCGTATTTTGTCAATGCTATCATTATTCATCATTGCGTCTTATTAGAGGTTATACAAAAGTGGTTTTGATAGTTGGCGGTGGTATACTCCTTAAATATTTCAGGGTTCTTACATTTCATGTCAATTTAGACACTTTTTGGTCCTCCATTTTTTGTGGCAAAATCACAATGGAGGGACTATAAGTGTCAATTTGATCAAAGACTAAAAATGAGGAATTTTGAAGTCTATGACTAAAATGTGTCTTGCATAATATAGCCGAAGAACCAAAAATGAAAAAATGAAAATCAAAGTACCATAAGTGTCACTAAGGGCCTGTTTACTTTTTTTTCTATTAAGTCCTGTCTGGATTAAGACGTCTGTCTGCATTAAGACGTCTGTCTTGAATAAGTGCCACTGGCATAACAAGCTGTTTACTATGTGTGCTGAATGTATAGTCTGAATTATGTCATTTTACGAATTTATCCTTCTGCCTGTAACAAGTGCTGAAACTATAATGTCTGTTTACTCTAACTAATCTGGATAACATTGTTATTGCATAAAATTTATTATAATATTAAATTGCTGAGCAAACAAGTTCACAAAACAACCAAACAAGTTCAAGAGTATTACGACAACATATTTAATTTAAACATTTCCTACTAATTTATTAGCAATTTCTTCCCGTAAATTCGTCATATATTGAATGCTCTGGGTACCCCATTGTGTTCCATCTATTTCTTCTCCGCTATCTTGACTTTGTCCTCCTTCATTGTTAAATATATCCTCATCATCCCACTCCTCAAATAGGTCATCTTGAATGTTGCATTTTCTTATAAAATTATGAACAGCACAACAAGCAATCACCACATCTCTTGTTTAGTACGTTCAATAACATTTCGAAGTTGTGCATGTGCGTGATTAAATCTTTCTTGTTTAGTCAATGCACGTCTGCGTTGGAAATCTGATAACCAATACCTTGTGTTACGGTATGGAGCCAAGAAACCACGAGTGTTCGAATATGCAGCATCACAAAGGTAGTATTTATCTGTAACATTTTGTAAGTGTTATAAATTTTACATAGTAATTACAAAAACTAGAAAGCACATTTGGGAATGATACACACCTGGTGGAGGAAAGAGAAAACCGGAATTTGGGTCAAATACAACTTGGGTTAATACTCGTGAATCATGTGCTATTCCTTCCCAACCGGCCCAAACAAAAGTGAACACCATATTGAAGTCACAAATACTTAAAACGTTCTGGTAACATCGACCTCTTCCTCTTCCTCTGTACATAGTTTGCTTTTCAGTAGGTACAATCGCATGCACAAGAGTTCCATCTAATGCTCCTAACGCTCCCTTCATAAACACACACACATATAAATACACACACACACACATATATAACACTTAAGAAAAAATCTTGAATAATAAATATTAACAACAAATGGAGTTAGAACATACCGGAAAAATTTCTCGTAGTCGCTTTTGCCGGTTTGACATATTTGGGTTCATTTCAGAGCTTGTTGGTACTATCATTTCTTTTGCAAGTTTCATCATTCCTTGTATCACTTCATGAAAGCATTTATGAACGGTTCTTGTGGAGTGTTGAAATCTCCGTTTTTGCACTCTAAATCGTTGATTATGTGAAATGGTTGCTAAAAACATTGCCATCTTTTCCTCCACACTTATATGCCTACTATCTTCCAACCAATTTCGTTGTCTGAAATGGTTGCATAACAATACATATCCAGCATGTGAGACACGCATCAATTCTGCAATTTGTGTATTAGAACCATCTAATAATTCTTGTGTGTATGCATGCCCACTTAATGCAGAATTGTTATCTCGCATTCTTTGTATACGTGTCATGGAATTTCTTCGCCTCACATAATAATATACAAGCAGTAGGAATAGAAGTTGCTCCTGAAGGTCCATATTGACCTTACAAAAAACACACATTAGATGGTGGATAAGATTAGTTTCATCATGTTCATTTAGATGTCACAAAAAACATTACAATGTTCGCAAATAGCACATAAAAGTCTTACTAATATCCAAGCATTACATGTAAACACAAACACAAATAGTCATTCAAATAGCACAATGAAAATATTACATGAATCCTAATTTTTTTCCAATCATTTGGACCCAGTTTGGAAGATGCACTGGTTCAATTTTCATCCAAGCCTCCCGATACAGGTCATTTGGATCACAAAAAATTGCTAGTGCAACACCATATAATGGGTCATCTCCTTCCCATCCAAGAGTTTTGAGCTTATTGATGCAATCATCAAATGTAGGTGGTGCCACTTTTGGAGGTGATTCGGGCTTTGCTTTTTTTGCGGCAACTATACGAATAGCACTCAAAATTTCATCATCAATAGCTGAAGTGACTTGTTTGCCCTTATTCTTCAGTTTTTTAACTTTTTTGTGGGTTGAACATTGTGCAGTTGATGTTGACATAGATTGTCCACCTTGAACTTCATCTTCATCTTCAACCACAAAGGGACTTTGAGATGGAATGTTTTCTGTTGAAGTATGTCCATGTGACATTGGTTCAACTGCACTGGGACCCCAACCTTCAGCACCCGTAGCAACAGATCCATCAAAGAGTTGTGCACAAAGTTCGGGGAATGGAAGTGAAGTAGTCTTCAAAGTCTCTGCGTACTTATTTTTCTGTATTTAAGATGTTTTTAGACTATAGGATTCAATGATAATGAAACACAAATATGAATCTATTGAAAAAGATTACCTTAACTTCGATAGCCCATTCCTCAGATGTAAGATTAAAGGTGCTGGTAGACGGATCGTAAACATTGCCTGTTTTATTTTTTAGTAGTAACCAGGCTCCATACTTTCCCTTAAGATAATCATAATGATTTTTCATTTGCTTGCGATCCACAGAAAAGTTATGAGTATTTTTTAAAACCTCAGTGACTTTCTTCCATGAAAGTGCTTTGAGACTACTCCCTTCACGCCCATTTATCGAAATTTATTGAATGCAAGTCTCAAGAAAAGTTTTGACCACATTCATGTTTTTCCAACTTATCCTACACCTTTTTTGTTTTTCGGATTCGCCACCGTATTCCATACCTAAAGAATGAGATAAGTATGTAGCAATAACTCTAAAATTCTTGAAAGAAGTAAAATTCTTCTAAAAAGTGTAATTACAAAGGTTAATACCGTAAGATATCCAACAACAAATAAAAAATTAAAGTAGTTTCAAGAGACCTACTTCATCATCATTATAAATGGCAAAGCTAACTTTTTCTAACCGATTTTGTAATTACAATTTGGGCAAAACTAAAAGTATTAGTTGCTCCCCTTTCCTAAATCAACACCTTAAGAACCTAAGTTTTTCCCAACTGATTTTAATTTCAAAATGTTAAGCTCTATCCAAATTTTAATTTCATAATGTTAAGCAGTATCCAAATTTTAATTTCACAAAGCAGAAAGTTTTTCCCCCCTACAGTCTACTTCGGCCCTATCAAAGTATCAATGACAAAATTAAATATCTAGTGGATAAGCTACTGCACTCATCGGCCATTTCAAGGTAATCTATTTTCAGGAAAAATATGTTAAAGTTTGTTTCCACATGCTAATAGTATTCTAACTTTTACACCTAAATCCACACAATGGCCGTTTCAAGCTGTAGTACAGCAGTGGGTTCCAGATGCTGCGGTCATCTATAATCTATTTCTCATTTTACCATACACTGAAAGTAGATTGAAGTTCAATAACTGGACAATAATGAAGAAGGGGAAGGCTGCAATCTAAGAAAGAGAGAAAGAAAAATATAAAAGCAGATAAGAAATCCAAGGAAATACCAAGGTGAAGTTCGTTGGTTGGCTGATTGGTCTTCGTAGGTCGCCGATTTGTGAAGCTCGCAGAGTCGCAGAAGTGATGTGCCGCGGCGGTGAAGTATACACAAGGGTTATA